ATCTATTCCATTTGCACCACAGAATGTGAAATTGATTGCCAATCAGTGGGCAGTTTGATTTCAAAGAGGTTTGATTGTGTTTTTTATGTGTTCCCTTTGTTTTTTTGAGCAGTGAACCAAAAAATTTAAATGTCCACTTAAGCGTGCTTCTACCCTCTGTTTGAGTGGGGAACTGCTTTTTCTGAAGGTGGTGAGTTACACTGGAAAACATCTCCACCAGGAAAAGAAAAAAAAAAGACGTAATATAACCGAAAACAATATAAAACCTAATTATGTATTATCAATCGTTAAAAATACTTATAATAAATATGTGTCATATATGAAATAATGCTTTTACGCAGCAGCACACAAAACAATAAGCAGTGAATGATGGGACGATAGCTATATGTATTGATACCCTACTTTTAAAAACTTCAGATTGACTTTAGCATAGAAAGCGTAAAACAACAGACTCTTATATGTTAGATTAGTTATAAGTGATTTAAATGCTTTTTTCAACTGTTTTATTTTGTTTTAACTCTGTTCATTCAATCATCAGGTAAGCTGTGGTTCTCGTTTGAATAAACCCACGGACATTATAAAGAAAGAAATAATTAAATGAAGGTCTGCTGGATGGACGGTGGTTCAAATGCTGACCAGCTCCAAGGTTCAGTGACCTGAAATTATTAAGTTGCAACAGGTCCTTGGTAGTTGTCACATATATTAAGCCAGTGTCACTGCATGACTGATCTTTGTTCATTTAATGTTTGGCTTATCAAAGGATTCTTTTCTAACAAGAAGAACTTGCTAATATTTCTAATTTTCTTGCAGTAAAGGTTGTCAGAGAAGCATAAAATCAAATGTCCTCACTAAACAGTGCTGACACATAGAATCAGCAATAAAAATGAAATCTGTAAAAAGTATTTAGTGAGAAATAAACTGTTACTTTAACAGTAAACTGACTCTTGCTTATTTAAATATCTGCATTCAGATGAAGATTACAAGTTGCTACATTTTCACAGAGTGAAAAGAATTGTAGTTAATTCTGCATCACAACAATGATACAGAGGAAACCTTCACTGATATAAACATCCAGAGTAAAGGTTCAAATGTTTGAATCTGTAGGGTAGGAAGCAAATGAATCCAGGGCAGCTTGTAGCAGTGAGGCAGAGCAGCACACAGGCATGTGGAGCGTTAAGTTACCAGTAGGGGGCGTAACCCAGGGATCCTGTTAATGTAAAGTTGGAGCTCTCAGCCTTTATTCTACTCACTGTTCCTCAGAGCTGCAGACATGAAGCTTCTGTTCATCTCACTGTTTCTGGCTGCTGTGGGCCTCGGTAGGAACACAGCTTTCATTCTTTGAATCAGACCTACAGGAAAAGGAGTTTGGACCTGATTATTGATGCTGTTTGCTGTTGTCTTACAGAATGCAGAGCACAGACAGAAAGCGTGCTGCAACCTGATGGAGATGTGACCGCTGCTGCTGGAGAAACTGCAACCCTGAGGTGCCTGTATAACACCAGCTCCTCCAACCATTATCTCTTCTGGTACAGACAGAAGGGGAGCAGCAGCCCCCAGTTCATCCTGAGCCGCTTCAAGGTTGGAGAAGGAAAAACTGAGGAGACGGAGAGATTTTCATCCAGTCTGGATGCTACTGCTAGATCAGTTCCTCTGCAGATCCATAATCTCCGTCTGTCAGACTCTGCTGTGTACTACTGTGCTCTGCAGCCCACAGTGACAGGAAACACCAGAACTCTGTACAATAACCTGCAATACTCCACAACCTCCACTAGAGGGACTCACACACTGTTTGTCTATGTTTTGTTTTTCCCAGTGCAACCAGCAAGAGACAGCAGAGTCAGAAAATATTTTGTGGAAATATCCTGCCAGTTTTTAGTGTCATATTTCATGTCTGAAAAAAAATTGTCTGTTTAGATAAGAAAAACAGTCCTTCTGGAATATGGAAGATCTAGTCTATCAAACTGATAGCTTATAAAGCTTTATTTATTAGTTGATTAATATATTCCATGGTATGTTTTATTACATAATTATAAAAAGATTTTATAGTTAAGATCTTCCAAAAACAAAAGTTTTGAGGTACATTTTAAATTAATGTTAATACTTTAATTTGTCTTCATTTTGGATAAATTAAATCAATTTGCAGTTGGAATGTTTGTTTACTCTGAAAAATGTCCTATTTGTGGTAAATGTGATCTTTAAAAAAGGATCTATAATGATAATGATAATAACTCCACAAAATCCACCCCAATCCAGTTTAACCTACCAAGGACCAGCAGGATGTGTCTTCACCTCTTATTACCTGCTGATGCTCATCATTTAGTTTAACAAACACAACTAGAGATCCTTGACAGAAACCATTCAGATCCTAAATTCCCAAAATGGCTGAATTGATTTGTTGCTGATTGGTTGGTGCACCTGAAATCTTGCAAAGAGTGATTTATTTATTGGAATTACATTCTTTTCCATAGGACTTCAAAACTGTAGGGATCAGTCCTATTTCAAAGAAGCCAAAGCAGATGAATCAATAGGAGCTCATTTTGGACCCATATCTATCACTGTATTTGATATTTTTAGTTTCCATGAGTGGCAGAACCTTCTAAGTTTCTGTGGAAATATTGAAGGGGCAGGTTGGTACAGTAAGACGGCAGCTTTTTGCCTGCAGCAGGGGTTACTGATAAAAAAAAATCGGAGTATGAATGTCATTGTTTTGCCTTCCATTTATAAACTAATGAAGTTTTAACTGAAAAATATATTTTGTAACTTAATCTGTGTTGTCAGTTGGCCAACTTTTAAATAAGCAGCAGCAATGGGCCTCAGACAGTCTATTAAAGCCAGCAGGCTGGCTGAGCTAAAATGTCAGCATTACTGGATTTTTGTCAAAGATTATGGATCTTAGGAGAGTTTGTAATGACTGAAAGTGAATAAAAGCATTTATTAGCAATGATGTATGATGTTTGAAAAATGTGAATATTTTAAGGCCTCAACTATGGAAGCAGTAACTTTCATCAGCCTCTTAGCTGAGATCATATTTCAAATCATCCCATTGTCCACTGCTTTGACCAAGTATCTGATACAAGTATTTATTTGGCCACACTGATTAATTTGACACACTGATGTAAACGGGGCAAAAGTCAGTCTGGTTATGTTAATCACTCTGTGCTCTAAAACAGGCTGGACCAATCCCAGCTCAGAAGCAGGCCCATTATACAACAGATGTTACCATATCTTGTGCCATAAACTATGATAATAATTTGGACATCTAGAACCAATGTCCATGCATGATATTAACAATGTCCTTTATGTAAGAAACATGAAAGTTTGGCTCAGCAGCTGACTTGCTCTACAACACCTCCCCCCCAAAACAGTATCAAAAGGCATTCCTACAGAGGTGTGCATTAAGGCCAGTTTATGCATAGCCTCTGCAACCGCCCAACCTGGGGTTCGGAAGTACAACCGCATGTACGATGCCTCAGACAAGTTATCTAAATAAATATATCCTCTTCGATGTCTAGTAACTCAAGATCCATCTCCATGACCGTGATATTTTGCAGACTCGCCATTGTTGCTTTGGAAACACTCTCGCCGGCGCCGCCAAAGTTCTCGTGAACATGTGCTGAAGTTATCAAGAGTTCTTGAATAAGCTCCCCCTTGAGCTTTGGAGGGAAACTGCTGTGCATCCCTAGAAATTCCAGACCGACGGAGCAGAGACATACCAGCAAAACTGGTTCACGACCAGATCCATGAGACATTTGATGTGTGTGGTTGCAGAAGTATAACTTGCCCTTTAGCCCCCCACCGTGTTTAAGGACAGAAAACACCACACAGGATTTCTCTTTCTTCTTAAGGCTACTTCTCACCTGAGATGCCAGCATATAAAGCATGCTCCTTGACCAGATGCTTCCATCATTTCTCAGAACTTTCAGACTGAAGTTGGAGGCCTTAAGAACATGGAAGCCCTTCCCCTGAAATGTGGCACGTGGAACAGAATAATCCCTGACATGGGTGGCCTGCTGCTGTGCTGCTAAATGCAGCAGAGAACTGAAGCCTTCCACATAGAGATCAGTAGAGGTTCGCAGGTCTGGCCAAGGGACCGATTTTCCATTTAAACAATATGTTTTTTAATGATTTTTTAATTATTTCATGTTAACTGTTGCGTAAAGACAAAGCTATAAACAAAGCTTTATACAAGCTGTTGTTTATAAAGCTACAACAAGTTTTATTTCACTAAGAGTTTAAACATTAGTATAATCTTAATGTTCATGTGTTTTATCATATCCTCATTACAATTTGATTATTAAACTATGACCAAATGTCATTTAATAGGAATGTCTGCAAGTTACAAGCTCACTCAGAGAAGGAAAAATATAAACTAACTAAATTATGTTGTTTTCTGATTAAGCAAATAAAACATTATTTGCCTAAATAATGGCCACATTGTTTGAAAACATCCATATTGCTCTAAATTAGTGAAAAGCAATTTGATCACACTGCAAAAATTTTAAATCTCTATAAGTCATTTTCCCTTAAAATGAGTGAATGTTTTCTTGAATTAAGGAGTTAAGTGAGACACTTTGCCAATGGAACAAGACAATTTACATTTAAAATAAGAAAAAACAATTGCATTGTCCCATTTCAAGAGCATTTTATCTAATTATCTCATTCTAAGAGTTAAAAGTATTCATTCCATTGGCAAATCCCCTTATTGACGTGCTCAAAATAGGGGTGAATACACTTCATTTAAGAAATGTTTTACTTATTTCTAGATTGTTTTTCCATTGCAGATCCCAAATTCTTCATCATCTCATTAATTATGGTTTTCAACCACGTTTTTCCTTCTTCTTTTTATATAATAGTTTAGTTTAGTTGAGTTTCACTAGTTTTAGTCAAGAGTTTGTAACTGAAATAAGTCTGGCATGGAGCTGAATGAATTTTGTTAATAATAATTGATGTTTTTAATGGAAGTTGTGGTTAAATAATTCCATATATGTGCAGAATTATCTGTTTGACCATGATTTCAGCTCGATTCACTCTTTCATTTGTTCTGACATACAGTCAGTGGGGCATGTGTTCATAAACACTATATGACAGTCCTAATATTATCTGATCAAGTAACATAAAATATATTTACTGCTCACCCCTTACTGGGTTGGGCTATAAATGTATCAAAGTTGCAAAACAACATACCACTCAAGATTGCAGTGGCAGCAAAGCAATATGTTTATTAATGTAATTTATTTTGTCCCAAAAGAGCTGTTTATATTGTTAAAATTTCAACAACTGGCTGCTGTTAAAGCTTTTCCTTAGTGTCACGGCCCTTTCCTCTGACCTGCAGGGGCGGTTCCTCCTGTAGGCAGAGGCAGGTCTAATTACTAATTGGAGCCACTTGGGCTCCTTATATAAGTTGGGCTCCACTAACACTCTCTCTCTCTGCTCCTCCAGGTATTTCCTTTGTTGGTTGGTTCATTTTGGTTTTGGTAACACTCAGACACATTCATGTTCACCCACTCATACACTGCACACACTAAACATTCTTACATACTCACATCTCATCTTTGTTTTATTTAAAGTTATTTATTGGTTACAATAAAGTATTGATTGGCCTAAATCGTTTGGTGTCCCCTCCTTTTTGTCATGGGCATTGAGCCGGCCTGTGACATTAGATATAAACTTTTTACCAGTTTATTAAGACATTGCCTGCCCCCATTGTAAAGCCGCTTCCAGGGTCGACTGAATGGTCAAAGATAGTGAGGATGCATTTTGAGAGGCTGCACTGTGACTATAGCTGATTTATCTGCTCCACATTCCAGATCCTGGATGCTGCCCCCTTGTTTAGCTTTTATATCACATACAGTCTCAGGACTTGTTCTCAGCCAGTATGAACTTAGCTGATAAAAGGAAATAGTGTTACTCCATATTCTTGGCTTTTTCATATATTGACAGATGCTCCTATTTGAGGTAAGCTGGGTGAAATTTCACAAAGGCATGAAACAGCAGTGAGCTGAAATATGAAATAGCCAATACCATAAGACCTATGCTGAAACATTCCTCCACATGTCCCTAGAGTTTCTTTCTGTCTTGTTTTCTCTTTGCTGTCACACTCTCAGCAGCAGTCACCAGGTGGCATTGTCCTTCCCCCTGAGAGCCTGAGATAAGTTGTTGTGGTTGTTAGCCTACTTTGTTTAAAGCCTGATTCTATAAACGCAGCCAGAGCTTAGACTGTTGTTAAAGTAATCTATTCTTTCCAAGATATCTTGTGTCAGGTGGGACGCTTGTTATTTTAGACTTTAAGTTTCCATTTTTGTAACCTGCCCATAGTGTTCCTGTCCTTTCACCAATAGACTCCTGGAGATAAGAACAAGCCCCACCGCAAGCCTGACATAAAATGCTCCAGGCCTCTAGAGGGAGTAGTCATTAGAAAAACTGGGTTACTTTGATATATGTGACTGAAGCAAAGTATTATGGAAGCCGAGTGAGATGGTGTCGCTCAGATTCTTTTTCACAGTGGTTTTAATTAATTTGAAGTTAATTTCCTCATTATCTAAAGGTAACGAAAGCCAATTTCTTATCATAACAACATGATTGGTGTTGGTTAAAAACTGATCCTTCAATCCCACAACAGTGGGAGAGGATTTACATGTACTGCAGCCAGTGTTTAACTTTTAGGTAACGAGACAACGTTGTTGGTTTGATGATTTGCTTCCCTTCTGATTCATAAACAATTAGACCTATGCTTCCAGGTGTTTTCTGAACAGTCCCAGGGTTACACCTGGAAGAGGTATAAGAGGCATTAACCCCCAAAATGAGTCCAAATTATAGATTTGTTTCTACTGTATTCCGTGCATCCAATCATCCACTACGAACTGACAATGAGTGAAAAGAAAAAGGAAACTAAAAAATTAGGCCCAACTACGGTCCCTGCAGGCATGGATGGACTGGGAATCCAGGGCTGTTGGCCAGCCTCATTACTCATACAGGTAAATCATCTTGTTATCTTAAGAAATAGTTATCTTGTTATCTCAAGATAACTATTAACTGTTTAACTGTGATAATGAGATTATTATGTCATTATTTCGAGAAGTCAAGGAAACTAAAGGTGAGTACGACCACTCTGGTTCCGTTAAATACACAAGAGGGGGCAGGATTCAACCCCACAAACTCCTGTGGGAAAGTCATGCATGAGAAAAAGAACAGCTAGAACTATTTTTCTGTTGCCAAGTAGCAAGGATGCTCGATCAATTGGCGTCATATTGACAAGATCACACTGTCACATTGCTGTAATTACTATGTTGTTATTCGGTAATAGTTTAAGACTATTTGTTTTAAAACTTTTTAAAGATATTGAAACTCTCCTTTATTCTACCGTTTTTCTTTTTTTTTTAAATAAGAGGTTAGAGTTTGACTCCCTGCTTGTGTGGAGGGTCTTATACAATATGGTCTTTACTTGACTCCCACTGGTGTTCTGGATCACTTCTATTTTATGTCACAAGTTTGCTGCTGTTTACATGATTTTCTTTCACTGACTGCAGCATTTTGTTTGCGGTTGCAGCATTTTTAGTTTGAATTTGATTTTGTTGAAGAAAAACAGTTCAGGATTAGAATTTTTGAAGGTCAGGCATTTTGTATTAAGCTGTGTGCCTCCGAAACCTCCTAAAAGTGTTATAAAAGGGTCTTACAGTATCTAAGACATAAGGCCAAAATCCTCCAACAGTGTGATGTGGACTCTGCCTCTGGATTGAGGTTCAGTCTCTGCTTTGAACAGAGGTGTTGATTCATTTCTAGTCAGTTTATGAATATAGCACCAATTCACAACACGTCATCTCATAGTACTTTACAGAGACAATCAGATGATCTGATGGGATTGGTTAAACATGTTTATCTAAGAAAACCCAGATGATTGCATCCAGTTATAGATGCTTTGCAGGAATTCCTCTTCGTAGCTGAGCTTGTAGTGAAATTTCCATTGCATTGTGTTTCTGCCTCTGTAGCTATTCAGTTGTGTTCAGGTATGAAGGGGTATGTTCACAAGGATTGCCTACATTTTTTGGTGAAATAATTTTTTTACATTGCTCTTCATACTTCTTACTAAACATGACTGCAAAGTTCATTACCCAAAAGAA